GCCGTCGCGGCGGCGGAGGAGGGCTTTCCCGTGGGCGGGACGCTGCGTCCCCGGAGGCTCCGGTTCCCCGGACGGGCGGCGTCGGCGGACAACGCCCGAGAACGTCAGAGAAAGGGGCGCACCCTGGCCGCTCCCCCCGGCCTTCCGTTGTGCAAGCAGAGCATGCCACCCCCTGAGCTGCTCCTCCGAGAGTCAGCGCTGCAGGCCCCGTATCGTACGGTCCCCTGAACCCCCTCCGCCTTCTCCCCGTCTCGGGGTACGGCGCCCAGAACTTGACACAGAACATCCAGCGTGTTGTTGAGGCGGAGTACCACGGCATTACCTCCTCCCATGTTCAGAGATAGTGCCATTCAGAATTGCATTAGACCAGTGGTTCTCAACCTTGGCAGCTTGCAACATGTGGACTTCCTCAGCATGCTGGCTGGGGAATTCTGGGAGTTGAATTCCATGCATCTTCAAGCTGCCAAGGTTGAGAAATACTGCATTAGACTTACTGGCTGCTGCATCACACCGCTTCCTGCTATTCACTGGCGGCCCATTAATACTGCCAGGTTCTTCTCACCCACCAAGCAGGTCTCCCTCATGCTGAACCTACACACTTGATCTTTCTGATACAAGACCCTACATGTATTATTGTTGATCATCCTGTTGGATTTAGCTCAGTGCTCAAGCCTGTTGAGGTTGGAACAGAAGCCGTGTCTCCGGCCATCTGGTCCAGCAGTCTGTCCTCACAGTGGCTAACCAGCTGCACAGCAAAGCCCAGGAGATGGCTTCAGAGGCTCCTTTTTTGAAGCCAGCACCACATCTCGTGGTAGTGAATTCCAAGGTTTAATTATGCGGTGTTTTAAAAAAAAATCCTTTTTTCCATCCCGATTCTTCCAGGATTCAATTTCATTGGGTAACCTCTGGCTCTAGTATTTTGGGAAGGTGAAAATAGCTTATCCTTGTATGCTTTACCTACATCATGCATACCTTCGTACATCTACATTGTGTCCCTTCTCATTCACCTCCTTTCTAGACTAAAAAGCCCTCATAGGGAAGCTGCTCCAGCCCCTTGATCATCTTAGTTGCCCTCCTCTGAACCTTCTCTAACTCCACTATTTCCTTTTTGAGGTGTGGCAACCAGAACTGCACACAACATTCCACATGCAGTTGCACTAATTTACGTATTTATTTATTTATTTATTTTTAAATTTGTATGCCACCCATCTCCCCCAACGGGTGACTCTGGGCAGCTCACAAAATAAAAAACCCATAAACAAAAAAAAATACCCCATAAATAATTAAGATTAGTTAATCTGTTAAAAATCAACTATAAAAACAAACCCTATACATAAATACTAAAAACATTCAAGACGGGGGGGCACACTCAATTACCTGAGAAGCCACCTCCACTGGTGTGAGCCCCCATCCGGCCCCCAGGCCTTCTGACATAGCCAGGATTTCACCCCTTTCCTGAAGGCCATGAGAGTGGGGGCACACCGCACCTTGGGGGGTAGGCTGTTCCACAGAGCAGGGGCCTCGGCAGAAAAGGCCCTCTTCCTAGATCCCACCAGTCAAAATTCCTTGACTGGTGGGATCTAGGAAG